GAGGGCACCTGTTGGGATGAGCACTGGGTGTTGTATGGAAAGCAGGTTGACAATAAATTTCATATATAAAAAAAAAAAAAGAACTTTAAAGGGTAGTCCCTGTTTGATAAGGTACTTCCTGACATCAGGGACAAAGCATTGATGGAACCCATCCAGAAAAATGGTTCTTGTCCAGCCCTTCTTGTTGGACAACCAGAAGACTGGCAGCTGGTGTTTATATTTGCGTTTCAAGACTTGGGTATTAGCAGTTTTATGGATAAGGGCAGTCCTGATCATAAGCCTGACTGTATTTGTCTATCCCTGCCTGCCCTAAATCCTGGTGCTCAGTTCTCTTCCTTAGTAATAAATGCTGTTTGTGGTATTTTCTTTTTTTCCAGAATAGAGCACTTGCATCTGCATTAAAAACGTGTTCAGGCAGATTTTCTTTCTCTAGTGACACTCTGAATGGCATCTGGAAACTTGTATGCTTCCTCTTGGTTAGCGGAAGCTGCTTCTCCTGTTATCTTGACGTTTTTTAAGCTAAACTTCTTTCTAAAATTCCCAAACTGTTATTTACTGGCATTAAATTCTCCAGATGTTGATCTTTACCTTCTTTTTGCTTTAAGTTGTCATATAATGACTTTGCTTTTTCTCAAATCACTTTAATGTCTCTATAGGTATGCCTTTCTATAGCAATCCTGCACCCATATAAAAGCTGCCTTTTTAGTACTAGATAAAAGGTATTTCGCATAAAGTGCAATGTTTTTGTGTTTGCTAGTAGTGTAGCTGCTGTGTCAGCTTTATGAATTTCCTTTCCTTTTTTTCACATTGGTTTTTATACTTGATTCATTTATCTTGAAATGGCAGGCAACCACAGCTGCAGACCTCAACCTATGGTCCATATCAAACAGTTCAACCTTTTCTAGTAATGTCTTGACTTTTCTCTGCTTCTTGGGAGCACTTCCAGCATCATAAGTGGCACTATTTATGGGTCCCATGGTGTTATTCAAGGTTTACGGTATTGCACTAAACACAATGAAAGTATGCAAGAGAACTACTAGAGATCACTTTTTACTGCAGTATGCAATTTAGTAGAGAGATGAACTGCTCATGTGGAGATGATTAGCATCTTTTTTGGCATTTTAAGTGGATATTCGGAACACTTGAGCTCACTGCAGTAGCAACAGGAGGTGGTTATGAAATTATTACAGTAGACATTACAGTAAGTCTGTACTGTTGTTAATTTTATGCTGTTATGATTTAATACTGAATCTTTAGATTTGTTTACATTTCTTTTGACTGTGAATGGCACCATGTAGGGACTGTATTTTTGTGTGTAAGTGTTGATAAATTTTAACTTTATAATAGATTTGTGTATATTTTATAGTAATAAATGATAAAATAAACTAGTAGCTACATACATTTTATGCATTCATGACAAACCTATATTTATTTTTTCATATTTGAAATTGGAATATTAATTGAGATTTTTCCTATTTGTGATTTGTCTGTAAGTTTTAAAAAAAATTGTTGCAAATCTCCATAAAATTTTCCAATATATTTATTGAAAAAAATGTGGGTATAAGTGGACCCGTGTAGTTTAAAACTGTGTTCTGTAAGGGTCAACTGTAATTACTTTATTTTTCCCTGAAATATTCCAATAAATATATTACCTTTCATGAGTCATATATGCTATGCAGTTTTCTTCCTTCTTTTCCTTTCCTTTCCTTTCCTTTCCTTTCCTTTCCTTTCCTTTCCTTTCCTTTCCTTTCCTTTTTCTTTTCTTTTCTTTTCTTTTCTTTTCTTTTCTTTTTTTCTTTTCTTTGAGAGAGTGAGAGCATGAGTGGAGGAGGGAAGAAGAAGAGGGAGAGAGAGAATCTTAAGCAGGCTTCATGCCCAGTGCAGAGCCTCCTGCAGGGCTCAAGCTCATGATGGTGATATCATGACCTGAGCCGAAATGATGAGTTAGACACTGGGGCACCTGAGTGGGTCAGTCGGTTAAGCATCCTAGGTCATGATTTCACAGTTCGTGGGTTCAAGCCCCATGTGGGGCTCTGTGCTGACAGCTCAGAGCCTAGTGCCTGCTTCGGATTCTGTGTCTCCCTCTCTCTCTGCTCCTCCCCCATTCATGCTCTCTCTCTGTCTCTCAAAAATAAATAAAAGTTAAAAAAAAATAAGAGTCAGATGGTTAACTGGCTGAGCCACCCAGGTGCCCCTATGCTGGGCAATTTTATTGAAACATGTATATTTTGAATTTGGTTATACAGCATGAATATAATGGATAGATTTTTTCTCTGTAGGAAATATGCTGCTAAGTACTGACTTTATAATTTTATGTTAAAAACTTTTATATAGTGTTTCAGAGAGGCAGCATACCATGGTGGCTAGGAATGGTCTGTCTCATATGCTGTAATCCTTTGGGTCACCTTGCACAAATTCTCTGTGCCTCAGTTTCCTCCTCCTTAAAATACATGTACAATACTACCTCTTGATGGTGACTGAGAGGTACTTAATAGGTGTAAGGTGCTTAAAACCATTTTGGCACATACTAAGTATTCAAGTGTTATATATTATTGTTACCATTCACTTTATCATCTTTATAACAAACTATGAGCAAGATATTGAGAGGCTGGGTATTTTCTTCTTGTTTTCTAGATGTGAATGAATTGAAGGAATGTCTTTCTGTGTTGGTTAAAGAGCAGCAAGCTCTGGCCATCCAGTCAGCCACTACCACCCTTTCAGCCCTGAGACTCAAGCAGAGGCTGGTCATCTTGGAACGATATTTCATTGCCTTGAATAGAACTGTTTTCCAAGAGAATGTCAAAGTTAAGTGGAAAAGCAGCAGTATTTCTTTGCCTCCTGTGGACAAAAAAAGGTAATAATATAATGAAGAAGGAATCCTGATACCAGCTAAATATAAAATGCGGGCTGTTTGGTTGAGGAAGTTTAAGTACAAGTTTCAATATAGTCCCTTCCATTCTTGCTTTCCCTTTTTGTATGTTTCATATAATCTGGAGAATGGCTTTGCTAATTTGCTGAGAGTAACAGACTCTGCTTCTTAATCTGTGCCATTATTTAATTTATTTATTTAAAAAATTTTTTTTAATGTTTATTTGTTTTGAGAGAGAGAGAGACAGAGCATGAGCGGGGGAGGAGCAGAGAGAGAGGGAGACGCAGAATTTGAAGCAGGCTCCAGGCTCTGGGCTGTCAGCACAGAGGCCAATGAGTGGCTTGAACTTGTGAACTGTGAGATCATGACCTGAACCAAAGTTGGGCATTTAACCAGCTGAGCCACCCAGGAGCCCCTGTGCCATTATTTTAAAATGCTTTTCTGTCAGTAACTGTGGAAGCCAGTGAAGGTGTAGATAAGCATATCTAGATTTTTGAAAATGGGGCCTGAACATTATATTGTTTTTGTTTTGTTTTATTTTGCTTTTGGATAGGGAATACTCAGATCATAATATTTAGTGCCTAGCTAGTTTAGATGCTTCAGTTTTTTCTTCCTAATGTGATTTTCTTATTCTTTAACTCTTCAAATTTTTTTTTAATGTTTATTTATTTTTGAGAGAGGGAGAGAGAGAGAGTGAGCACAAGCAGGGAGGGGCAGAGAGAGGGGGAGACCTAGAATCCGAAGCAGGCTCCAGGCTCTGAGCTGTCACCACAGAACCCGACGCAGGGCTCCAGCTTGTGAAACACGAGATCATGACCTGAGCCAAAGTCGGTTGCTTAACTGACTGAACCACCCAGGTGCCCCATCTTATTTTTTTATTATAAGAGATGTTTCAGATATATGATTTTTAATATACTGGTGTACATCAGCAGATTGTTCTCAGATGTAACTAGAATGCTTAAGGCTTGTGTAGAGTTTTCTTTTCCCAAAATGTAGCTTTCTACCACACTTTTGTTCTCAGAAGCATCGACTAAAAGATTTCCAGATTTAACTCATATTTTATGTAGTAAAAAGAATTGGTTTTATTTGATTGTAATACTGATTTTTATTCCCTAGAGAGCACATGGAATGTACAGGGGCAGAAAGAAGCAGGGGGGAAACCTTATTTTGCTACCGGGAGACGAGAATTGCTAAATGTATCATGTTTCATGTATTTTTCCTTTTAAATCTAGTTCAAACCACATTACATGTCCTATATTTGATAGTAGTTTTAAGATAAATTAAACCAAGTGACAGAGGAGGATTCCTGCCCATGTGATGATAACCAGCAGCACAGTTCTTTCTTTCTTGGCTGGAGAGTGAGTGGTCTTTGTAGTGATCATTGATCAGGGAGGGGTTCTGCATATGGGGATGATAGATTCTAAGCCTTTTAAGTGTTCCTGTGTGTTTGTTGAATGAAAATGAATTCTCTAAGATGCAGAAGTGTCTTAGACCCCAACTGATTTTTCTTTGTGCTTTTTCCTTTGTGGTGACATAAGAGTTGGTGGGTTAATTGAAATCTGTCTTTCACTGAAGCAAGCAAATTCCTAAAATTAAAAAAAATACATATTTTGAGATAATTATGGGTTCACATGGAGTTGTAAGAAATAGTACAGATTCCTTATACCCTTCATCTACTTCCCCCCAGTGGTAGCCACTTGGAAAACTGCGGTATACTATCACAATGAGGATATTGACTTTGATACAGTTTACTTCTCTTACTCATATTTCCTCAGTTTTACATGTTTTCAACTCAGTTTTTTACATGTTCTCAGTGCATGCATGTGTCCATTGTGTTTCCATACAATTTTATCACAGGTTTGGATTTCTCTCACTATTGCCACAGTTAGAGTACAGGACAAGGAGCCTTTTTATAGCCACATTCACCTCCTTTTCCCTCCCCTTTGCCTTATCCTCTTCAGCCACTAATGTGTTCTTCATGTCTATTATGTAACCTTGGCTTTTTTCAATCAGGGTTACCTCCTTGAGATTCTTTCAAGTAATTGTATGTATCATCATTGCATAGTAAAATTCTGTGACATGGATGTGCCTCATTTGGTTTAACCATCCAGTGAAGGACATAAGTTATTTACAGTTTTTGAGTTTTATGAATTAAAGCTGCTGTGAATATTTGTGGACAGGTTTTTGTGTGAACCTCAGTTTCATTTTTTTGGAATAAATGCCCTGGAGTTCAATTGTTGGGTCTTATGTTTAGGTTTGTAGGTCATTGCTGCGCTCTTTCCAAAATAGCTGTGTAATTGTATAGTCTCATCAACTATGTATGAATGATTTAGTTTCTCCATAGCCTTGTCAGCGTTTGAATTTGTTGCTGCTTTGTTTTAGCCAGTCTGTTAGATGTGTCATGATATCTTCTAAATTTTTGTAGATTTCCTCATTTCTCAATTTACTGAATAGTGGTGGATTTCACCTTTTTTTGTGGAATTAGCAATGGGTTGGATTGTTGACTGGTGTGGATGGGAGTGGGTCTAAGCTATTTGCTTTTTTTTTCCTTGAGTATCTGTAAAATAGAGAGTGACTTATTGAAGATTTAGCAGTTTTTAAACTGTGCAGATTGAGGACTGTTGGGCACTTTCTCAGGGGCCATTATGATTACCTGAGGGGAGCCCCAGTTTCATGCTTTTCCTGGAGAAATTTTCTCCCAGAGGGAGAATAGACTTAGCATGTGTACTTCCCGTTTTAAAGACCACGTGTATTATTATACATATGTATCTTGTAATATTTATATTTCTCATTCAGAAATAAAGTTTAAATCTCCTTAATCCTGTCTCCTAGGCACCCAGTCCCCTCATTAGAGGCAGCCACTAATTACAGTTTCTTGTGTCTCCTCATGAGCTTCCCTCATAGAATTCAGGATTCACAGAATGTGCATACTAGCTGCCTCTCTGGGATCCACACGTTCTTCACTGCTAATTTTACTTGACATTGTATCTTGGGAAGGTCATTCCATATCATTACCTATTTTTCATAGCATTTCCCCCTGATTGTGAAAGAATATTATAGTAAGTTTGAAAAATATAATACATAGTAGAAATATTCAGCCGTATAAAGTTGCATGATTGAGTTTATATTGTACACTTTTTTTGTATTCTAGTTTTTTTTTTTTAGAATATCATGGTATACTATTTGTATAACTTTAAAAAATATGCATATCTTGTTAAATTTACATACAGAAGTAGTAAAAAGCTTAAAAAAGACATGTGAGAATGATAAGCACTAAATTCAGGAGAGGATAAACTCAGCAAGATGAGGGTGAAAGAGAATAGGACAGGTACATGGAGTCTCTACTCCTGGTCAGCACATAGACCTAAAAGGGGCCAAAGCAAATACAGATTCCATAGCCCTAGGTGCAGTCCCGGGAATTTGTCGTATTGTTCTCTCAACGCCCTCACCTGCCTTTTCTTTGCTACATGAGCTTTAATCTCTCCATTTATGTATTTATATGTTGATTTTCTGTTTACCATGTGTGTCTCCCTGACTAATAATATCAGCTCTCTGAGATTATTTTGTGAGAATTTCTGCAAGTCATTTAAAATTCTCTGTAAATGCCTTTTTTTTTCCTTCCTTAAAGAGGGAACTTCCTTTACAAAGAACATTTGGTAAAAGTTTTTAAATATGAAACTAAAAGTCACTTGTGATCCTGCTGTCTAAAGAAATTCAGTGATCACATTTTGGTACAAATCCTTCCATATTATTTATTTTATTTTAGTATTTGCACAGTCCTCTGACCAGTTATCACAACTCCCATGTGTGTTGTCCGCAGTTCCCGACCCACAGGCAAAGGAGTGGAAGGACTTGCGAGAGTCGGATCCCGAGCAGCTCTCTCCTTTGCCTTTGCCTTTTTACGCAGGGCATGGCGATCAGGTATGTGGGCCCAGAGTGTCCGTTCGGTTTCCTCACCACATCAGGAGACTTGGGTTCTCTTCTCAGTTCTGCCACCACATGCCCTTGGGCTGATCCCATATAGTCTGTGTGCCTCATTTTTCTTGTTTGTAGAATGAGAGGCTTCAGTCTATTTGACTTTTCAGGTCTGTTCTTTAAAAAAAAAAAAATAAATAAGAAAAAGCATGTATGTGTTTATATCGCAGGTAAACCACTGTTAGTACATCAGTGCTGATTTATTTTCTAGGAGGACAAGAAGTTAGAATTGCTCATGAGAGAGTCATAACATAAAGAACTGACTTTGGGGCACCTGTATTAAGTTTTAATCTCTTGAGTTCTTGTAGTATCTCATTGAGAGGAAAGTGAGGGATTGAAAATGTGACAGTGGTATCTTCTCACACAGAGGGGTTGGAGGACCATCTGGGAGAGTGGGGAGGGCTTTACTTGTCAGTGCTGCCTGAGGAGTGGATGGCCTCCTCTGATGCATGTGTGCCCAGGTGAAGATGCGGATCTATGCAGCGAGCTATTGCAGGAGTCCCTGGATGCCCTGAGAGCCCTGCCTGAGGCCTCGCTCTTTGATGAGAGCACAGTGTCCTCTGTGTGGCTGGAGGTGGTAGAGAGAGCAGCCAAGTTCCTTAGATCCGTCGTGACAGGGTGAGTTCTTTCTTTTCACATCTTAACTCTGAATGGTTCTAACATGTTTCAGTCTTGTCTCACCTTCTCTTTAGAGCAGGTTTGTGTGTATGTCTCCAGCCTGCCCTCAGCTCTGTTATTCTGGATCTTGGTTTTCAGCTTTTCAAATGTTTGCTTTTGATATTCTGATTAGACCCTGGAAGCTATCATATTGAATCAGATGGAAAAATGAAAAATATTTTTGTAATGTATTTTTTTTCAGGTATTTATGATTTGGGTATCAGTCATTCATTAAGTGAGCACCTATTGGGTGCCTTTCACTGAGAATATGGATGCTACCATTCTGAGTGATGGGTGTTGTCTTAATAGGCAACATGGTACTAAACAGCTACTCAAGATCAAAATGTTTAAACCTCAATCTATTCTTTTTAGTGTAAAAAATTTTTGAATGTGAATCATTTTCTATAAGGAAAACCCTGAACTCTGGTCTTGGGTGTTATATATTTTTGTTAACTTTAAATTTTTAGGTTTTTAAAAAGAAAAAGTATATATACTTAATACGTAATTCAACGCCAAAGACATAATTAGAGGAGAAGTGAGTCTTTTCTCATTTGCTTTGTCAAAAGAGGTCACTGCTCTGCCCCTTCCAATGTGCAAGGACACCTGTGGTCTCTGTGCTAACAGACTGTGAGTTTGGCTCCCTAGAGAGCTGATATAGGCATTGTGACAAGGTTTTGGGCTGGGGGCCCTGAAAATAGGCTTTGAATTACAGTTGATCCTTGAACAATGTAGGGGGTAGAGGTGCCAGCCATTCACGCAGTTAAAAATCCACATGTAACATTTTACTTCCCCAAACTAAACTAATAGCATGTTGACTAGAAGCCTGACCGATAACATGAACAGTGGATCAATGCGTATTTTATGTTGTATGTATTATTTACTGTATTTTTATAATAATACCTTTTTCTTAAATTTTTTGGTATTTCTAAGCTACATGGTTCATCTGTGAGTTTTTTCAAATTGTTGCAAATCTCCAAAAAATTTTCCAATATCTGTATTGAAAAAAAATCTGCATATAAGTGAATTTGTGCAGTTCAAACTCGTGTTGTTCAGGGTTCAACTGTAATTTCAAATATTCAGCTATAATGTTGATGTCAGAAAGCCCTCAGTTCTCCATCTTGGGTTCAGAAGAATTGTCATTTGTTATTGGGGAAAAGTTAAAATATTTATTTGATAAAAGATAAAAATAAGCATAGACATTTTGTCTAGAGTCTCAGGTGCTTTTAGAAGTTGATTTTTCTCCATTTTCATAGAGGGATGTTGATACTCTAATAGCCTTAGATTTCACTGAAAGTGGAAACATATCTAAACATGTTTCTACTCATGATTTGAATAATGATATAAATAATTTTATGCTGTGGAAACTGGAATATGTGTTTTCTAATGTAGTCATCTTTTGTATCAGAAGTCTTTTAATAAAAACATATCTTTTTAAGTTAATTGTATACTTTATTTTTTATTAAAAATTTTTTAATGTCTGTTTATATTTAAGAGAGAGAGAGACTGCATGAGTGGGGGAGGGCAGAGGGAGACAGAGACAGAAGCTGAAGCAGGCCCCAGGCTCTGAGCTGTCAGCACAGAGCCTGATGCGGGGTTTGAACTCACAAGCCAGGAGATCATGATCTGAGCTGAAGTCAGATGCTTAACTCAGGCACCTCGTTAATTGTATACTTTAAAATCTCTGATTAAATTTGAGTAGTAAGTCTCAGAAACTTGATTCTAAATATTAAAAATATACATGCTGTCTTTAAGTTCTCATGTTACTTTGGTCTTGCATCCACTGCTGTCATTTCAGAGATGTTCATGGAACGCCTGGTACCAAAGGGCCAGGAAGCATCCCCCTGCAGGACCAGCACCTGGCTCTGGCCATTCTGTTAGAGCTGGCTGTGCAGAGAGGCACACTGAGGTAAGGGGTGCTGCCGGCTGGGAGCATTTCATGGAACACCTCTGTATCTGAACATCTGTTTCACTTTATGGCATTTCATTGAATCATTTGTGTTTATAAAAATGTGTGGTGTTCTATAATCAAAGAACCGTATCCCAGGACTTTCTCTTCTTTCAAGCCTGGGTACACTTAGGTTTTCTTCACTTCCCTTTTTTTTTTTTTTTTTTTTTTTTTTTTTTTTTTTTTTTTTTTTTTTTTTTTAAAGTTTGTTTATTTATTTTTTTAGAGAGCAAGCAGGGGAAGAGTAGAGAGAGAGGGGGAGAGAGAATTTCAAGCAAGCTCTGCACCGTTAGTCCAGAGCCCAATGTAGTGCTCAAACCCATAAATTGTGAGATCGTGACCTGAGCCAAAAATCAAGAGTTGGCACCTTAACTGACTGAGCCACCCAGGCGCTCCTCTTCACTTCATGTTTTATGTTCAACTTTTGTAGTCTAAGACCTGTTCCTTTTTTTTTCTTTTTAATTTTCTTCAAATGATTTTTATTCCATTAGTTTAAGGTCCTAGAAATTCTCTTTAGAAAGTGCTGTTGGAACTTCTTAACTGGTTTTATATTTCTTATCCTCAGAAGGTGGATATGTTGTGCTAAAATCTTGGCATTGATTAAGTGATTTTACTGCCAAGAATTGTTTTCATGGCGTTATTTTAGTTTCCTTTTCAATCTAAAGTATTTTTTCTATTTTATTTAGCTGTCTGCTTTTATTTTTGACAGTCCATGGCAATAAAAGCTAATATGTTTTTACTAGATAATAAAGATATTTTCTCTTTCAGCCAAATGTTATCTGCCATCCTGTTGTTGCTTCAATTGTGGGACAGTGGGACGCAGGAAACTGACAATGAGCGGTCTGCCCAGGGTACCAGTGCTCCTCTTCTCCCTTTACTGCAAAGATTCCAGAGTATCATCTGCAGTAAAGATGCCCCTCATACAGAAGGTGACACTCACGTAAGTACCATAAAAAACCGCTGCCTTTAAGTAGCTTTCTTAATTCAGTTATCCTAAAAGAGTTAGACTTTTATAAACAAAACCAGAGTGCATGTCTGTGGCAGTAGTTGTCTCTAGGGGAAAATGTGTATTTGGTGATGACAATAGTGAGTCAGATGTAGGACAGGTGTGGGATATCATGGGGTGAGTTTCATTTGATGCGGTGGAATATCACTTGAGCATATGGCATCTGTGTGTGTGTGTGTTCTGGATTGTGTATACTTAGTAGGGAGAATGTATTTCTTGACATGTATCAACTTGTACTTTTAGAGAGATTCCTCTACTGCTTTTTGACCATGTAGTTTTCTTTCTGCTGGATTAGAGCCATTTAGCCCTTTGTGTTTGTGGGTTTATTATTACCTGTGTGTTCCCAGTAACCAGTCATGTTGTGCTTTGGCTGTGATGGAGAGTGAGTTTAAGATGCTGTGGAAAATATAAAGAAGGCATGCTCACTTCCATGAAAGAATTAGTAGAGGCATGAAAATGGGTAAAAATTCTGACAATATTTCAAGAACAAAGTGAGAGAGTCAAGCAGGTCCTTATGGGCACTTGCAGTAATAACATGGGGAGGCGGCACAAGTTGCTGAAGCTGAGCTGGTGTGGGATGGAGTGTGTGTTCGGTTCTGAGGATGTGCTCCACCGTGAGGTCGTGTAGTTGCCTAGTGGTTAATGTTTATTTGTTTTGACCTGCCTTGAGAAGTCTGGTAGTCCTTCTCTTCCATGTTACTCCATATACTGTTTATGGAGAAGACAGTTCAACGAGCACCAGCTGTACTGCAGCACAGAGCTAAGTCTGACATACCCACTTTTAAATACATATTATAAAAAGAGCATTGAAAATAGTGGCTTACTTTTTGGCCCTTTCTTTGTGCAGGGCAATGCATGGAGTGTGTCACCTAAGTCATCACTGTGTTTGTCCTAGGAAAACAAGGCTGGTAGCAGAGGAGGGCCTGTCTGGGTCCTGGGTCTGAACCCCTGGGACTGCTTCTTTTTAGAAGTACAAGTTTGATCTTGTAGGTCTTTTTTTGTGGGGGAAGACAGCCATTCCATTATAAAGTTAATTTTCTATCACTTGGCAGTCTTTAATTGTAATAAGGCTTTCTGCCTTTAGAAGAATTAGATTTGGGGTGCTTGAGTGACTCAGTTGGTTAAGTGTCCTGACTCTTGATTTTCGCTCAGGTCATGATCTCACAGTTCATGGGATTGAGCCCTGGTTTGGGCTCTGCGCTGACAGCTGAGGCCTGCTTGGGATTCTCTCTCTCTCT